AGAGAGAGAGAGAGAGAGACCATGTGTGTGCACACCCTGGTATTTACTATTTCTGTTCATTTGATTAGACACTAATGTAGGGAGAGCCTGTAATCTGGTTTCATTTTATAATCTTTGCCCAGCAGTTAGCCTGAGTTATTATTTTTTTAAAAGGTTTTCTATGAGTCACTAATTTTGTTATATCCTTATGGTTTATGAATTATTTTCAATCTTTTTCCTTTCTCCATTTACATATTGATGTGCTCCCTATGAATGCAACAATGGCCCAAAAGATATGTAATGTGAACTGAGTTGCTAATTTAAAAGAAAATCCAAATTCTTTTTCTTGGAAAGATATCATGCTAGTCACAAAGTCCCATTTCTAGGAAAGGGGGATGATGTCATAACTTAGAGGAAGGAGACATCACTGCTAGGCAAAAGGTCCCCTTGATGAGTCCCCAAAGAAGACTGCTAGGCTCAGACATACAGATAGCAGACTACAACATGGAGGCAAACGCCAGAAACGAGCTATTTAGATTTTGACAAACACCTTAAATAGCAGTGATTGGGGTAGGTAGTATATCAATTTTAAAAAGCTGAATAGTTTTTCCACATGTCATTCATTTAATGATAAAAAAAGAAATGGTTAAAAAAAAAAAAAGAATGGGCCCCACTTCCAACTATTGGCTCGTGGCCAGGAAAACTTCATAAGAGATGAAAGCCGCCCTCCTCATTATTCATTCGGCAAAATAATCCGTGCTTAAACGAATGACTTTTTTATGTGCAGCATGTGCTGTGTATTCTGCTTCCAGGTGGAGCCTGTTCCAGCCCTTTTTGTGGTTTCATTTGCTGTAGTTGATCCAACTTGGAAATGAGCTAGAATCCTGGTGACCCACCTTGGCAGGATCTGCTGTCTGAGGCTGGAGTGAAGCCCATCTCACACTCGCAGCGATATGCACCCGGGACGTTGAGGCACTGTCCGTTCTCACAGAGATTTATGTTTTCTGCACACTCATCAACATCTGGGGGAGAAGCAAATTACATCTCTATTAAGATCCAAATCTCATGACACAGTTTTTCCTTGCTCTATAACTAAATGCATTTTACTGGCTTGAGTCAATGTTCATTAACGTGAAACAACAATTTATCATATTCACCTACATGTGGGCATACAAGTTGGAAGTGGAGCTATTGAAGCTACACCCTAACATTGAATGATAACACGATTAATAGGAGGAATGCAGGTGTCTCTCGCATTTGTCTTAGTTTTCTCTGATGCTAAGTCGTTGCATTAGTATTATACCAACATCATTGAGGTATGACCGAGAGCATTGGTATTTATCTTAAAATGGTGTTAATTCATTTGAAAATGTTGTAGTATTAGAAGAAATAACTCGTTCTTTCACTAGTTCAAGTATTTTTAAGCAAATTCAGGACGCTCCATGGCAGCGGTTCTCAACCTGTGGGGCGCGACCCCTTTGGGGGTCGAACGACCCTTTCACAGGGGTCGCCTAAGACCATCGGAAAACCAAAAGATATTTACATTACGATTCATAGCAGTAGCAAAATTACAGTTATAGAGTAGCAACGAAAAAAATTTTATGGTTGGGGGTCACCACAACATGAGGAGCTGTATTAAGGGGTCGAGGCATTAGGAAGGTTGAGAACCGCTGCTCCATGGGAAAGAGGGAAGTCTCTTTCATGTCATTATAATCTTCTTAAAATATCCCTATCTTAAGTATGCAAATGGGGCTCATTCATAGACCTTAAAGATATTTCTTGAATTCCAGCTAATGGAAAAGAGAGGAAAGGGCAGAAACTGATGTTTACGAAGGGCCTGCTATTTGCCGGGTAATATGCTAGTTGTTGGACAGGCACCTTTCATTTAGTTCACCAATCCTGCGAGGCTCAGACAAGGAAGAACTGAAGTGTGGAGCACCCAACTGAGCTGTGGGAGTCCCAGCGAGCTCATCTGTGGCTGAGCCAGGAGCACAGCTGTATCTGGCACCCAAGCCATGCCCTTTCCTTCACACCACCGTGCAGAGAGTTACTAAGAAAGAGGCAATCCAAGGTTTAAAAGTGGTAATGCTTTAAAATGGAAGAGACGTGTTTTCTTAAAGAGGCATTTGAAAATGATGAGTCTGTGTTTTTAGTGTCAACAATTAGAAGAAGAACGAGAGTCTATCCTTTAATTATGGGTTTCAAGTCTGTGCTGAAATTCAACTGAGAAACAGCTATCTTACAAACTAAAGTATCATACTTTATGTCCAGGAAGATGATCTTAGATATGAATATAATGAGTGGATGTTATAGCCTCAAGGAATGTGGAACGAATAGCAGCGAACATTGACTGAGCTCTTAATGATATGTTTTTCTAAGCCCTTTACTTGTATGATTCCTTTTAGTTCTTTCAAATACCATGTGATAAACTGAGATTTTGATAAACACATTAAACAGCGGTGCTTGGGTAAGTCATATATCATATCTTAAGAAGCTGAATAGTTTTCTCATATGTCATTCATTTAGTGATAAAAAAATAAAAAAAATAAATGGTGTTATTATTATCAGCATGCCCATTTTAGAATAGGGAAACTACAGCCATACTGGTTAAGTAATTTACTTGGGGCTACACAGTCAGTAAATAGCACAGGCTAGGTGCGAATCAAGGTGGTTTGATTCACACAGAGCCTCTGGTTATGACTAACAGGTTAATAAAAAAACAAGAGAAAATGGTAGTCATTAATAGTCAAGGATAGTAATAAATCCTTTATTTTATTTTATAAAATAAAATAAAAAATTTTAAGACTTAAAATTTTTCAATATTTTGGAAAATTTTTCAGGTTTTTGTATTTAATGTAAAAGAAACATACACATTCACCTGTAAGTTTTTAAACAGAGGTAGTGATTTCAGCCTCTTTAACTACAGTTTTCTTCAAGTAAGGAAAGCATATAGAGTGTTCCAGAAAATCATGCCAGAACACACCTCTGGACTCTCACCCACCTGAGCAGGTAAAGCCGTCTCCAGTGAACCCTTCTGAGCAGGCACATCGGTAGGAGCCCGGTGTGTTCACACACTGGGCATTGATGCTACACTGGTGGGTTCCATTAGAACATTCGTCCAGATCTGCGTGCCAAGGGAACACAGCAATAAAGGTCAGAAACAAAAGTGGAACATTTAAACACTCAGAAAAGTTTTCATTTGTCTCAATTTAAACTGGCCAAATGGAATGTGTTTTAGTTTATCTCTAAGGGCACAGTTCTAATTCTCTAAGATGTCAGACCCATAAGTCCAAAATGCTCAGGCCACAAACATGGGCCACAAGTATTAATTCAAGCCTTTGTGAGATATCTAATCAACTCACTTTTTCACAGCTAACAGAAAACCAGGCCTAGATTTCCTTCTGATTTCTACCAACGATGGATTTATATCACTGGTTCCCTTATCACACACACACAAAAAGGTCGATTTCTAAGATAGTACTGAATTTCAGAGCAGAAAAATTAGCATAGATTTTTCAAGTTCATTTTATAGATGAGGTATCTGAGATATGATTCTTGACCTTATGGAGTCCAATGTCTAGTGGAAAAGACAGATGCTAAACAGAAAATTAAATTAAGTTAAATATTGTTATATGTACCATAAAGAAAATTTACAAGGTGCTATGAGTTAATTAAAAAAAAAAGGTATCAAATTTGGAGTGTAGAAACAAGAAAAGCTCCACCAAGGAAGTAATTTTTAGCTAACTTCAAACCTAAATGATGAATAAGAGTCTGCTGAACAGAAGTAGTGAAAGGGTATTCCTTGCAGAAGGCACAGCACATATAAAGACATTGAGGAGGAAAAGAGCTTGGTGTGATAAATTAAAGGAGACCAGAGTTACAAAGCACAATGGAAGAGACAGGGTGATGGACGATGAAGCTGGAGAGATAGTGGAAAGATGCTGTAGGGTCTTGTAAACCAAGGAAGGAAGCTGGATTTTATCCTCAATTCAATGGATTAAAATGACGATTGTGGAGACATCAGATCCATTGTTTAAAAGATTTGTCTGGCTGCTGTGTGAAAGACGGACTTTAGGAGAACCAGAGAGCGAATGAGCAAATGTAAGAGAAGGTTGTTTAGCATCCTGCAGTGGGGCGGGAGGAGATACTGAGAGAGAGAATGGCTGAGACTAGAGCAGGGGAATGCTGATGGAAAAGAGTGGATGGATTTGGATGATATTTTGGAGAGATGCCTAGACACAGGTGAATCACTGGTATTGGAGGAGGGTCTTTTGCAATAGTTGGCCAGAGTGACAGATGGACAAGAAGCACAAAAAAAGGAGGCGAAAAGAGAGGAAAACAGTAGTCAAATGGGACTGGAAAACCTGGAATGGGGATACGGCTGAAAAGTTGTGAGATTAATGACAGAGTGATGGCTGGATGAGAAGTGGTAGCTAATGGACTTGAAGCCATAAAATATTCCTTAGCAAAGTTATTTGGAAACTATAATCATTTAAATTCTATAGTCAGCTCATAAACGTCTGGGAAGTACAAAACAATTGAATGGACAGGAAAACATTTTCAAATTAACATATTATTGGTAAGAGATTTCAAGACTATTTTTTAATGCTTACTGTAGGCTTATAAGATTTTAATGAGCAATCAAGGGGAGGTCAGTTTAGCTTGCTTTATTTTCTATTTTCAATTGACCTGGATGATTTTTACCAGTTGGCAAAATGTTTTATTTTGAAAGCATGTAAAACACTAAGCAGATTAAACAGCACCATGCATCACACCAAGGGTAAAATCCAGTCCTCTGCCTCACAGCTATAAAGACTTATTAAACTCTGGCTCAAGAACTATAAAACTTGGAGAATGGGAACTGCCTTCTCATTCTCCTTTCTTTGAATCAGATCTCTTGGAACCCAACAAAACACTTAGGTTTCTCTGGAAGAAAAATTCTATTTTCTGTTAAGGAGCTGGTATTGGCCAATTACTCTAGACTTAGGTTATCAGAGAAAACCTTTTCATTTTCTTAATTTATTTCCCTGAGTTTTAAATATCTCACTGATTGTTCTATGGAACGATTGGGGAAATACACTAGTCATCTTTCATCATACAGCTATTTGGATTTCTGGGTGCACATCAAATCATTATACTGAAAAACACATTAGAAAGCAATTTGATCATTTATACAAAAGTTGAAAGGAAACGCTTAAACAAGAATTGTCTTGCAAAGAATTTGAATAAAGAAACAAAGAAAATCAAAGACAGTCTTTGATTTTCATGAGAATACAGAAAACAGAGGAGCACATTCCGATTCAAGTATGTGGGTGAACAACTGTGAAGAAGAGCCTCTAAAAATCTGGTGTCTTAGCAAAGGTTATTTACATTCACAAACTCACCAATGCATTTGATGCCATTTCCAATCCAGCCTTCTCTGCAGCTACATTTGAAGCTCCCTGGGACATTTAGACATGAGGCATGCATGTCGCAGTTGTGGGCACCAATTTCACACTCATCCACGTCTGAGAAATCATAGTTAATATGAAGAAGACAAAATACAAGCTAATTAATTCTACTTCCAGGTACTTTTCTGTGTATGTAAAATTTTAAAGTAAATATAGAACGATCTAAAACTGTACAGAGAAAATATTAACATCATTTTGATTTTTAACTTTTGTAGAGTCCAGCAAGATCTGGAAGGTCATGATCCAAACCAAACAAGCCCTTCCCTGGAAGAAATTGCCAGCCCTTTTCCGGTATGAATGAGACGCAGCAGCTGTTGTGCCCTGAAAGATATGTGTGTCAGCCCCTGTTCACCGCGCAGGCCCTTCTCCCTTCCTAGGCCCAGACAAAACTCTATGTAGAAGGCATCGGATTATAGATGTCAAGCGAAATCTCATTTCCAAAAAGAGACTGCTATTCTCAAGAAGATAAGAACAAGCCGAACTTTTTAAAATAAGTGATAGTATATTTGCTTTTTAAAATTACATGATCATTTGTCATTTTTAGAATCAATGCAATATTTTATAGAGTTTTTGAAAACTATCATTCTGTTTATCTGAGAATATATAAAAATATCCATTGGAAATGTTATCTGGAAAATGACTAGAAGCTTTTGCATATATACGTGTGTGTATATACACACACACGTATATATGCATATATGTACATATATATGTGTATAAACTTCGTGGCTTTGATTTCCCAAAGCTGCCTAGAACTTTCTAAAATAGAAATAGTCGGTTCTATCCAGCTCAATGATTACATATTGTAGATGCTGAAATCACACACACACACACACACACACACACACACACACAACTATTGGCTTCACAACAACCCTGCTGGTGGTAAGCATTCAGGGTATACTTTTCATTACTTGCCCTTGCCTGGAAGTGTCAGCTTAAGGGCCAGGCTGGTCTCAGCCATTCTCCAGCTGCCTTGAGCAATTTACCATTAACATAACAAGGGCCTTAAATTGAGCAATGGGGAACACCTGGTCCAAAGCGATGACCTTGGGACTTGCTAGCAAAACTACTTAGTAGAGAAGGGGAACAAGAGATAAAGTGAGCAAAGAAAGAATAGGGGGAAAAAAGACAATTTGTGCAGGGAGAAGAAAGGGCAAAAACAAATGGAAAGAGAAAAGAGACACAGAGAAGAAAAGAAGGGGGAAGAAAGGAAGGAAAGGGTCTAAATAGAAATCTAGATTAATACTAGTTAGTTCAAAAGAGCTGCAGAAACAAGCAACAAGTGGAGTCCCTTCAGGTCTTTGGTGCTTCTTAAGTATGTCTCCTATTTGGGCAGCAGTCCTACTAAGAAAGTGAATGCTGTTGCCTGGGCCACCAGAAGCGCATCAGAACCAGGGGCCCAGACTCCACACCCACTCTCTACTCTGTGTCTGGACCTACAGCCAACTCCGTGGTGAGGTCACAGCCCAGTGTGGGTGCTAGTCTAAGACGTGCCAGCAAACAAATGATGTTAACGGTTGGCCTCTGAAAACATACGAAGCTGAAACACCGAGGATACAAGTTTGAGACCTACCTGTACATCCTGTGGTCCCCTTCTTCACTGAATAACCCAGCTGACAGTGGCAAATGAAGGAGCCCTTGGTGTTCTCACATTCCCCAAACATGCAGATGTTTGAATTTAAGTCACACTCATTCACATCTAGAAAATTTATTTTTAACATCTTGGTTAACAAGTGTTCATCCTCATAATTCAAAAGTTTTCTTTTAAACTGAATAGCCTAATACTGAAATACACAAATAGTATTTAAAATGTAACCTATTTGCAAGACACAGTATTGCTGATAAATATACTGTCTAATGACTTTTGTCAAAAATTTTTTTCTTTGCAGCTTTGACATTCGATACAATGGGTTGAATGTTTCAAATAATGGAAAAAGCTTCCTCTTCTTATGTTAATATGTATGTGTGCATAAATGTGCATATATTATTGTGTGCATATGTATATGTAAATATTTGTCCTGCTTTTATGGTACCCACCAATGCATGTTTTCATGTCCATTGAAGCCATGAAGCCATCATAACACAGACAGCGATATTCTCCAGGAATGTTGGTACATTGGCCACCATCACAGATATCAGGATTATTTTCACATTCATCAATATCTGATGATACAAAATTAACATCAAATGAAAACAAGGATGGCTTTCATTAAGCTCCAATATCTTTCTCCATCCAGTTCCACTCAAAATATCTGGAGTCAGAATTGTGAGATAAAATTCAATAGATATACAAAGTCTGTGTGCTTTCCTTTCTGTACCTGCGCACGATCTCCCATCGGGCATCAGGGCATAGCCTTCGCTGCAGCTGCACTCGTAGCTCCCTTCTGAATTGGTGCACTGGGTGTCACAGCCTCCATTCATTATCATACACTCGTCAATATCTGTGAAAACAACATTGCAACCACATGTCTTGTCAGGGCTACTTCCTTAAACAAACAAAAAAGATAAAGAGCTTTCCTTCTTTTGAAACTGATAATGCTTAAACAGCTCTGGATTTTTCTCCCCACTCTTTGTGATGATTGATCATTACACCGATAGTTTTTCTTAGTTCTTTCTACTTTCTTTTAGACAGCATTTCATTTGACATGGAGCTCCAGTTACCTAAGATTAAAGAACTCAGAAATATAACAACTATGGAGTTTACGGAGGTTTCTATGATAAAAGCAGAAATTCCTTTGCAAAACCACCAACCCATGGCATTTTAGAGACCTGTCCCCATTCCTAGATTCTACAACAAAGGACTCCCATCGACTTCATTACATATTCAATGCCCGAAGTTTTCCCCGAGCCGGATTTGAGAAATCACAGTTCCAGACCCACCGGGCCTACCCTCACCTGTACAGCCCTGGCGGTCTGGTGTAGCCTGGTATCCAGGGTTGCAGGAGCACTGGTAAGTGCCAATCATGTTCACACACTTCCCATTTCTACAGAGATTGTCACTCAGGGAGCATTCATTAATATCTATAAAGAACACACAGAATTAATGTTTTCACAATATCACTTAAACGACCTAGAACACGCTGCACTAGAGCAGTGGTCTGCAAAGGGCTCCTGGGGCATTCAAAGGACACGCTGGACTATGTTTCTCTTATTTCTATCTGCAACAGTGCCAAAGCCAGTACAACTTTGAACATCGATGGAACGGTTCCATGTCTGCACTGCCCAACATGTAGCTCCTACTGAGCACTTGAAATGTGGGTCGTAAGACTAAGGAATTGAATTTTTAATGTTATTTCATTTTAATTAACTTTAAATAGACACATGTGGCCAGTGCCCACCATACTAGACCACACACATCCAGCACATGCCAGAAATGAAGCTAGCTAATATTTCATCTGTGAATTTACGTTGGCACACCGAGCTGGTCCTTATCAGATGGCCAACTGTTGCCTAAATACCTTGCTGTTTCCTGAGGGAAGGTGGCTGCTCCGACATAACAGAGGGGCTAATTACAGGTCCCTCACTTGGTTATCTGTTTTCATCGCATTGTGTGTTTAGCACACCTGGATAGGTGGATCTACATATTATACTGCCTATTTTAAAATAAACTAACCCTTATAAAATGGGAAGGTGCCTTATAAAAACTCCTGCAAAGATCTGTGGAATAAACTAGTACTAATAATGAAATCAAAAGAGAAGAGCAAGAAAATGGTAGTGACACTTTTCTTCATACCAGCTACCTGTCAGACACAATTTCAGGTAAAAACAATGACAATATAATCAGATATAGAAAGAAATTCATCCCAAATTCTCAAAATTAGTAAGACTATGTGACATACGGGTTTATCTTTATGATCATTAAATGTTTATTCTATTAAACATGCAAAAACATGTATCATATGTACACTGTGTCTTTGAAGGGTACTTTTTTCATCTGTAAGATCCAAGAAAACCAATTACCAAAATAAACCAACCTTCGAACAGAGCTCTGAGTCACCGTTTCACAACCATGAATACATATTTTGTCATTATGTGTGAAAATGCTTTTCGTCCCGCTATTAAAATGAAATAAAAATACTTAAAACTTTTTAATTCAGCTTTTAAAAATGTCTATTTAGTTTACGATTTAAGAGTTTACGATTTAAGATTCATCTAATACGTTAGCCTAATCAATATAAACAGGGTTTATAAATAAGTATATTGAGATGTGCTTAAATTATGTTTTAAATGGGTGTTTATAGTCTGGTCTATTTTAAACTGTTTTATTTGCTTATACTTTCGAGAAAGATTTCTGTGAAGAAAGCGTTTCCTGGCTAAATCAAAGTTTTAAAGCCAGTGCACTAGAATGCGGTAAGCCCAGAGGCCATCGTGTGTTTATGAAAAGCAGAAGGCTGGGACACTCCATACCAGCTGTTGGTCTTCTCGTGTGGCCTCTGACATCCTTAAGTTCAGGGCCAGTGAGGAGACCTCGGTGTTTCTATGGGAAGTGGGGGTGGAGGGAGATCACATGTTCACACACATGCGAGTAGACCCTGTGATGACAGACACAGGGGCACAGAAGTAGATGCCACTGAGTGACTGCACAAGTGTGTGCACAGGTGAACTCTTAGGGAGCAGGATTTCCAACAGAAGCAGCTTTCCCATCCCATCCTACATGGAGGAGGGAATTACCTGGCTTTACACAGGGTCCCTCATACAGAGTCCTTTCAAGTGTGCTTGTAATGAAAGAGAAGGTAACCAGGATAATGCTGGCTCATTCAGGTGTCACTGAAGCATTCTCTATAAAGACAGCCTGAATCCAAATGTAGGGACTCTGAATTTCCAACTTTTGGTCGGCTAGATGTCGTGCGCCAAAAATAAGTACATTAGCATCAACCACTGATCTTTACCAGTTGAGCTGGGTGGGCTTATGTGCTGAGGAGCCAAACTCACCCACACAGTCCTCACGTGATGGTGACAGCTCATGTCCCAGTGGGCAGTCACACTGAAAGCTGCCCTCAGTGTTCACACAGGTGCCACCCCTACAAAGGAGAGGGTTACGTTCACATTCGTCAATGTCTGAAAGGTAAAAATGTGAGATCCATTAAAGAACTCTGAGGAAAAAATAAAATAATATTCATGCATGCAGCATGGGAGAAAGAATCATTACCTGAGGTAAGTGTGACTCAAACGTAAGACAGATTTAACAGGAGATGGGATAACACTTGCCTCACTGTTTCTATTAGCAGTAGATACATGGTTCAAGTTCTACCCGCAAAGATAGTGAACTACCAAGGAATTCACTTGTATGAAATGAGCAGGCTGCCAAGAGGTAAAAATATTTGCTGTGTATCACTCTAAACTCCAGATATTGCTGTCTACATCACTAATTTAAAGTGAAAGAAAAATCTTAGACGCTTCCACGTCATCTGAGGTGAGTCCTATAGGTCGCGGAAAATGAAAGGATGGGCTAAAAGGTGGGCCATGTCAAAGCAATTGGTAATAACACACAAATAAAGAAAGTAACACAGGATTTGCATGACTGAATATCCATTTGGGGGGGGTCACCACACAATCTTATGCATTTTAAATGCATCCCTCCTGAGTAGTCAGTCTGTGCTGATTTTAGATTCTATGAATAAACAGAACCCGGTCTCAATATCTCACTGCCACTGAGGCGCCATGAGGTTGGGGCTCCCCAAGAGCTGTCTAGGAGGAGCAGACTTCCCGTCTGACACGTCCAGTCGTTCTCCTGCTGCACAGCTCCTTGCCAAGCACGCTGTTAGCAGCTCTGAGACAAGCCAAGGTCGAGCTAATGAGTCTGCGCCTGAGCGGTTTCAAGACTGAGAGGAACAGCGAAGCCGTGCTTACCCATGCAGTTCTTCATCATCATGAACCCACTTTCGTAGCCTTCGAAGCACTCACACTCAAAGCTGCCCGGCGTGTTGACACAGATTCCGCTTCCACAGAGGTCGGGAGAAATCCTGCACTCGTCGATGTCTAATTCACAGGGTTTAAGAGAAATGAAAAAAAAAAACAGAATGAGAAGGGAAGGTATGAAAGAACTGAGAGATTTCGTCTTCCAAGTGAGATATTGGATAAATCAGCGGCTAGCAGTCCGAGGATATGATTTCAGGAGGTCAGCTAGAGGGGAACAGGGAGGTAGGCACATTCCTTTCTTCAACTGCCAAAACTGTCACGGCCAACGGCGGCAGGTGCTGTCTTTTTGCCTTTGAGAATTCTGGAATTGTGAATTTCTCTTTGAGGCTTCCAAAGGGTCACAGAGGATGCACCAAGCAGCTGTAGTTATGAGCCGAAAAAGGCAGGTGGCAAACGAGGGAGCAGTGGCTGCATGAATGAAGTCCCACACACGAGGCAGAGACCATGCTGGCTCTGCTCCGCAAAGCCACGCCCACGCTGATGGGAGAACACAGGAGTGCTGCCCGGAGTAGGGTGACCAGCCACAGAGGGACAGTCTCAGAGGCAGATGCAGCTAACTACTCTTGAGCCAGACAGAGCTCATATATGGCAGGGCCATAGAATACGACCCGGTTTGTGATTTTACCCAGACAGGAAGAGCCTACTGATCTAATTTTAGAAATACAAAAAAAAAGGGAAATGATGTGTTTGTCACTTTTTATATACTACAGTAAATAAAAACCTTCAATAGCAGTGTTTATAGTCTCAAAAACAGAAATTCTCTGAGAGATCTCCATGCCTGTAACTAAGCTTTTTTCAATAGAGAAGTCATGACTATAAAACAGGATTAAGAAAACATGATTTATTAAAATTTTTTTGTCACAATGGGAAAAGCTTTTGCCAGCATCTGTTTATTTTGCTGAATTTCCATTTTTAAGCTTTTCTATCCCACAGCATTTATAAGTGGCGAACTTGTGTATGCTCTCTTGGGGCCTCAGCTGCTGCTTCCTCCGGGCTTTTGGTCTTTCTCTACTGATTTTTCCAATTGTGGGCCATACTGGAAAAAAACGTAAGTACTTTCTTTTAAACAAAAATCTTAACAAAATTCAAAGAGTCATCGTTTCAATTAAGCAGCTAACAGGTGCATACTAATTCTCTTACTTTTTATCTATCAGTACCTAGGAACTGGTGGTGACAAGATAAGGCTGATGGCAGAGTAGGGACAGATGTTGGCTGCTGTGAAATGGTGGGAGTTGCAGTGTTGAGTGTGGACTCGGGAACTAGATGCTTGGGTACAAATCCCATTTTGTTGACTTCAGGGTGGAGGGCCTTGGGAAACCACTTAATTTGTCAGTGCCTCAATTTCCTTATCTGTAAAATGGGGAGTAGAGTAGAACCCACCTCACAGGAGTAAGTGAATCCATACTTGTGAAGTGCTCAGAACAGTTCTTGTCTCATAGAAAGGCTGTATATATGTAAGGTATTTTCTAACAAGAATGGGTATTTTGGAGGAGGTGGCTTTTGAACTGGTCCTGGAATGGTGCATAGAAATTCTAACGTTAACGACGTGGAATAAATAAGAAAGGTAAGAGATGAAACACACAAGGAGAGAAAACTAACGCACTTCAGAGAACAGTAAGTTATAGAGCGTCTGGACGGTAGAGTCTGATAATTAGTGCCAGTACGGCCAGGATGGGTATGATTACTGAGGGTGCCAAATGCGGAGAGGAGAAGATTGGCCTTAAATGCTGTGAAGAACGGCAGCCAACAGTGTCCCACTGTCTTTTCACATCATATCCCACCACACCGCAGGGCTGTTAGCAAGTATCTCTACACGGTTAAAGAAGGACAGCCCCAGAGCCATTAAGTGATGGGCTAATTTCACACCAAAAATAAGCAGCGGGGCCGAACTGGAAAAACTGAGCTGCTTTATCCAGGTTTAGGACTGCCTGAGTCAATGGAAGTTGTTTTGTGAGCCCTGCTTTAGGATGATAAACCTGGTGGTTGTGGAAATGAAGGATCTGACTGTGGAAAATTGATGGGTTGGAAGACGTTGGAAGATTCTGCAATGGAGCAGATACCACGCCGTGTGCCCCAGCTCTCCCCGCAGGAAGAAAGGACTTACTCGTCCTTCCCTTCAAGCTGATGCACTGTTGCTGGCAGAAAGCCCTGAGATGTAAACTATCTTCAGGAAATGCCTTAGCCAAGAGGACCGCTTCCTCACAGCCATACCCCTCCAGGGGTAGATGCACGCAAAGATGGATCATGAGGGTACATACGCCTAGCTCCTCTGCCTTAACTCCAGACAACTGTAATGAGCCATCGCAGATCCAGAGCTCCTGGCGGGGTGGGGACCACACCGGGACTGCATCACAGCCTGGCTTCTTCCCTGCCCATTTCTGCTTCCTTCCCCTCCCTCCTCTAGCTACTGACTCCAAGGGCAACCCCTAACAAACTTCCGGCGTGTTTCTCTCTGCTCACTCTGTTTCCTGAGGAGTCTAACCTGCATCTGCAATAGTCCAGAAGAAATATATTAAGTACTTGACATAGCCATTTTGATGGGAGAATATATGTAACTTTTTCACTGGTCCAGCAGGAAACGGAGATGTCAACATTAAGTTTGAGGCTTCAATCCTGAGTAAAATCATATTATTAATACGTACAAGAACATCCCTAGGCAGGGCGGGTGGGGGTCGGTGGGTAGGGCAAAGGCAGATTAAAACAAAGAGAAGCTGTCCAGATGCAAGTTAGTAATGTGGGAGTGAAACTCAGGAAGCGTAGAGGGCTAGAGACAGCACCTAGGACACAGCTCAACAGAGGCCACCCATGAAGTCATGATGGCAGACGCAATTCTGAGAGGCAGAATGCTGAGAAGAGCAAAGGACCCTGGAAAAGGCTCAAGGGATGGAAAATGCCAAAGCCAAGAAGAATCGATGAAGAATAGAGAAGAAACATCATAGTCAAGGAAGGACCATTGAGACAGGGAAAATGAGAAGAAAACCAAGGTGGGAATCTAGCCAGAGGTTGGGGAGAACATGAACAGGAGAAACATTTTTTTTTTAACTTGGCAAATGTGTTTTGCAAAATTATGTGTATGTGCCGGAATGAGTGAGGGCAACAAAGTTACACGGGGTTACAAAGAAAATGGTTAATTAAAAGAGAGCAGTGAGAGGTACAAGTAGGAAAACAGGATGGTAGTTTGAGGGAAAAGAAGGGTTGAGGAGACATTCCGAACTTGTTTCTAGGCCTGGGGGAAAGAACCAGTGAAGAGAGAAAGATGCTAGAGAGAGAGGAGTGAACCCTGCCGGAGAAGAGCCTGGAGCAGGAGGAACGACAGACAGCGAAAGGAGAGACATTCACTGGAAAACTGAGGGAGACCACCACACCTCCTTCTCTACGTCAAAAGAGAATCTGGGAGAAAAAGGAAATTTTATTACCAGAGAGGAGGATGTGTGAGAGGGTCCTGGCAATCAGATTTGGTCTCAACAAAGAAAAAAGAGAATAAATAAAGATATGAGAGAGTGTGTAGGTCCGAAGAGGTTTAGAAGTGGTGCTGAGAGAAACTCAGCAGGTGATGGAAAGAGGTGAACAGGCATGTTGCTAAGCGGCTGTGAGGGCCTGGTTGAAGGTTAAATCATGGATGTCAGCCAGCTCTTCTCAGACTCTTCCATCCAAGTTCAGCAGCCCAGAGGGCAATCGATGGTGGAGAGGTTAGAAGTTGGGGATAGGCATGGGAGGCAGAGCAGAAAGACAAGAGAGCGTAACTTCAGACCAGGTGGACAGTATTGAAACACTTTGGGGATAGTTTAGGCTGGGAAGGCTCATGAATCTGGTGGCACCTTATGGAGTAGAAGATTAGAAAGGAGACAAGATAGACAACTCAATGGAGATCATGAAGAAGTAGCATGTGTGAGGGCAGGAGACAAGGGGACATTCCAAAGAGAATACGAGGAAAGAGAGTTTTGAACATAAAATTTTGGAGCTATATTTCAAGTGTTTGGGGGTAATTTGTTATATTACCTAATAGAAAAAGTTGGAATTTCATATCCTTTCAAACTAAAGGGAATGCTTATGAGTAAGGATATGAATGGTGACTGAAACATAATTACTATGAAAACTGTTCACAGATAAAGACAATAAGTTCCGACTTCTCTATTCCAAATTTTAATATTTTTAACAAATACTATGTCAAGTGTATACTATTGTTGATTTAATGACTGCATTCTTGAGTACTCAGGTATTCTGAAAATCATGTTTTTATGTTGTTCCTGTAGATGAAACAAATAGCATTTTCATGTTATGTTGCAGCTCTCACAAGTTTAGAGAAGTGATTGAAGAGTAGGGAAAAGGAAACAAACAAAATTTTCATGTTCTCAGTGACAGAATGGGCTTTTGAAGGTGGTACTTTCAAAAGCAGACCAAGGAGAGCTCTGGTTTAGCAAGGACAACAAAAGCACCACCTTACCTGTGCAGTTTCTTTCTTCCATGTCTAGAGCAAAGCCACTATTGCAACGGCACTTGAAACTTCCAATTGTATTTCTGCACTTCCCATAGGTGCACATCCCAGGAAAAGCTTTGCATTCATTGATATCTACAAGCAGAATAGAGCTAGAATGTAGAGCGTGTTGATCTAACGGAGTAGGCCTCTCATTTTACGTTAAACATTTATCATGATGGAAAATAATGCATTCAAGTAAAAACGGGGGATATAAAAAATGTCAATGATCACACTGATGCCACACGAGATGTTTCAATTGTGAAACAGATTCTGTATTCTTCATGAAGAGATCCCTTTATGTCTGACCATTTGTTTTGCCAAGTTTAGGGGGTGTCTAGAGTGCTTTTTTTGCTTCATCAGGGCTGCGTCCAGTCAAGCTCTGCTAAGAAAAGCAGAGTTACAGCAGAAGGGTGTAAGAAAAGCAAGATTAGCAGTCTGTTTTATATCTTTACTTCAGTGCCATCTTATGGAGGTGATTTATACACCTGGGCTATAAGGTTGGCCACAAATTATATTTAACAAAGCAAATAAAGTGGAAAACCAAATGTTTAAAGCACAACCAATTCTCAGAGAATGTGGAGGGTGAACTTTAGAGGGACGGACATGCCGCTCAGTTACCTTTGTAAAATGGCCTCCCAGTAAGAACATCCCCTCTGTTAGCAAAGCCAGGCCCCCTGGGGCACAGGGTGTCATACTCCTTGGTGCCAGGTTTGGGGCATTCCTCACACTCGGTGCCCCACGCTGCCCCAACGGCACAGCAGCAGGCGTCCATGCGGAACTTCCCAGGAACAGGGTGGATGCACTCGTCTTCATCCCACTTCAAGTAACACTGCTCCATGCGGATATCTACACGGAGAGTGAAATCACAGGCGGAGATTACATGGTAATACTCACTGAACATTTATTAAACGGGTGTCTGCTCGGTGCCTGTCATGATGTCAGGCCCTGGAGATACACCAGTGGGTGAGTGACACAGTCCCTGACCTCCTGGGACGGACTCCATAATGACAGACATCTAGAGAGAGCAAAGGTGGGTTCTCCTTCAGGGTTACTTAATTCTCACAAGATATCTTCAGGAAGAAAAGGTCCCCTTGTGACAAGCCTCCTTCATAGCATCACCTATGATCCTTTTTTTTGTATGCTCACTTCAGAAAGAATAAAATAATTTCACTGTCAGGTTCTTCTTGTTCACTGAAGTGCTTAAAGTGGCTTGTGAGCAGTCCTGTCAGATCCTCATCATAAACAGCAAATGATCAACTGTCATCTACTTGCCAATTTGGTGCAACTATTAAAATAGCTTTACAAAGGAAAAAATATTATGGCAAAGTTTTTTTTCTTTCTGCGAAATTTATCTTTTGCATCATGGTTTTTGCCATGGGTTAGGTTAATCTGCCCTAATAAGAGGCCAAATTATTTGTTTAGATATTACATTTTTCCTTCAGTCTCGAAGCATACTAACATTTCAGCATGCTAAGCTAGGACCTTAGAAGATCAACCAACAGTCACAAGTTAGGGTAAATTAGCACAATCTATAAATAACACATGATTTATCTGTTAGCCTATACAGTCGTTTGTCAAACTTCAGTCAAATACTTGGCTGTTAAATTGCAAATATGGATAATGAGTTCAGAAAAGGTTTTCCTTAAACGAATAACATGTTTTATTTGATAAGAGCATTTCAAGATATTGAATAATTTCCTACACCTGAAAACTGCTTAACAAAGAGAAAGAGATCCCTAATGGAATGTAAACATAAACAAATGTGCTTTCCATTTTAGTTACTTTTAATACCGATTCTTTCAAGTTCTCAACCAAAAGTAACATCAACTTTAGCAATTTCCTTTAGCCTATAGAGCTACATACATGTCCAAATATTGTTCTAATTGAGAAGTCCTGTTTTTAAAGAAAAAATAACTGGTAAATTTTCACTTGGATTTGGTAGACTGAATATAGGTATTCACAGCAGATAATTTTGCCTTTTGTATCTGCATTAACACCAACCAAAAGGCCACATTCTCTGCCAGTGTGAAGTGTGACAGTAATCCAGTGAGTCTCATTACAACAAGGTACTCGGGGGCTGGTCTCAGTTACAGTCAACCTCATCCTACACTGTCACCAGGGAAGTAAGGATCTTAACAAGATGTGACATTTTTATTTAAGTACAGGTAGCCCAAGAACTCTGGCTTGAGTCAAATTTTTTCTGAAATAATTGAGGTAATTTGCTCAAGAAGCTATTCTGGGATTAGCTGAAAAAAAAAAAAAAGCATTTGGACTAAGTATGTAACAAGTTATGATAGCCTGGCAGAGTAATGCTGTGTCTTTATTACTGAGATCCATATCAATATTTACATCAGAAACTAATGTAAACACTGTCAGCACACTGGCCACATAAGGCCTGTGACTGTTTTGATTGGCTTGAACCAATAAAAATATGAAATTAAAATATGAATTTGGAAGTCTCTGGATGGTGTACAGGCTCTACAGTTTGTTGCAGGCCCCACCACTCCTTATTACCAGGGTAATAAATCAATGTCTGGGACCTTTGATTTAGATCAATTGTATCAAAGCAGTTTACCTCTATCTTTGTTCTCAGGAAATTTACATTGTCATATGCCAATCTCCTCTCAAAACTTTCTCATATCCCCAGCCAAAATGAAAAAATGTAGCATATTTCAAGTAGTGACAATATTTAATCAAAGTACAAAGATGAAAAATCCAATATACCCTTTCAGAGTATTACATAAGATTTGATTTTGAGTGATGTTATTGGGAATTAATTTTGCTTAGTGATGATTTACAATCAATGATATAGCTTCATATATAATATCCTTTACTGAAGGAATTTAATTTCATTAGTCACTTGAGCACACCGACACTCTGTCATCTTCAAAAGATACTTTACTTTGTTCTGAATTGAGTAGATAATTTAACAATAAAAATCTGAAAAGAATTTTTCATTATTCAGACTTTGGATATTATAATTTCTAAACAATTCCATATGATTTTACAGTTATGCTTCATATCCAAATTTAAATGTTCTCAAAATTAACTTAAAATTAAATCTGTGTTGGGCCGGGTGAGTGGTGCCAGCTCTGAGCAGCAGGGCCCGGGTTCTGATCCCACATGAGGGCCAGTGACGCTGTGCCCTCTACAGCTAAGATGGTGAACAACAGCTCAACCTGGAGCTGGGCTGCCGTGAGTCGCCGGTGATGGGGTAGGCTGCAGTCCCTGCTGCAATGGGCTGCTGTGAGCTACTGTGAGTAGCCGGCAGCCAGCATGAGTGGCCGGCAGCCGGTGTGAGTTGCCACGAGGCACCGTGAGCGGCCGTCCAATGGCCAGCGAGCAACTGCCTCACCCGGGAAGAGCTCAATGATAATACCAACATGGACCAGTAAAGCGACGTCCTCCACAGCTAGACTGAAGAACAAAAGGACAGCAACTTGTCTGTTCCCCTTCCCTGATTCCCCAACGCTGTTCCCCTCCCTCAATTCCCCAAGAAAATCTTTAAAAAAATTAAATCTGTGTTAATTATAATAACTAAACTGTATGATTTTGTAAACGTTTTTCTTACTATTAATTTTAAAAAACTACTGATATATACAAATACCTTAAAGGTCTTTGAATATAACAGTACCATTGCTCATGTTTTGTCTACAAGCTTAAATTTAAAATACAAACCTATGTAAAATTATTTTAAATACTGTCCCATAGTATATTGGGAAAAAAATCCCTAAGTAAATATAAAATTGTTTCGATACAATATAGAATTAATACAAGTTTCCTTTTCAGTCATGAAACTACAGGTCAGTCAAGCATATACTGATAAAGAGTAGGATCAACTAGGCATTTATATAACGCAATGTTGAAAGAAAGAACATCTTCACTTTAGAAGTTTAGAAAATAAAGACTTAAGAAAATTTAAACTCTAAAGATGGTCAAATAAAACAGGGATTGGTCAGTGTTTTCAACGAGAAACAATATAACTTTGACCATGACTTTCCCCACTGTTGTCTAAGAGCATAGCTGCAATGGCTGGTAAATGTTAATGTCAAACACTAGTCTCCAATTTTTCTTCCACGTTCAAAATATACACAGTTCTCTTATTCAATTGATTCAGTGTGAAAGAATGAATTTGCCTAAAATAACTGATTAAAGAAATTGTAATTTTTGAAGCAGTAGCAATATACTGTATTATACAGAAACCATTTCATTCAAATATATTCACTTTAAAAATAACCATTGGTGATTTTCTCTCAAAATATCTCATTTAAAGCATTTCTAGCTATAGGCCTAATGGTTTCAGACTGGTCACTGCCCAAAGCATAAGAAAAATTCATGGTTGGTTTCATACATAAAATACACGAGGGCACGAATCTTACCTAAGCACACACGGCCAGTTCCATCCAATGTAAGGCCTTCAGGGCACTCACAGTGAAAAGATCCTTTGCTATTGACACAGCGTCCATTTGGACAAACACCAGGAAACACCTCACACTCATTAACATCTGTAGGGAAATGAAGCAAGCAGAGGGATAAAGACTCCATAAGTAGAAAAAGCAGGTATAATGATACTTCCTGTATAGCATATTCAATTTCCAATACAATGTGAATTCTTAACTTGAGTTAGGCAGAAATATTCCACAGCACAGCCACCAGTTTTCTTAGGTACCAGCTGGGAAAATTACCAGTCTTGCCCGTCCATAAAACGAAGCCCCAGACATGCTCCTTTGTCCGCTGTTCCGGGCCCTAAAGATTGGTGGTGGCCTCATGAAAATTCACACAGCAGTATAAAGAGGAGAAATGGGAAACTCTAAGCTGTCTCCTAAGAATATTATTCTAAAGCATTTGTCAATTACATTGAGTATTTTTATTGAAATTTCAAGCATTTTGAAAACGATAAATATCTCCAAAGTATGAGAGCGCATACTAATTTTACACACAGCTCTAAAGACTGACCTATCATCCAAGAACACACTCACCTTCACAAGTAACACCTTTGATCCTTGCAAAGCCTCTTGGGCAAGCTGTATCTGTGAGAACAATAGGACAGATTTTTACTTCATTAGAAAAGAAAACACAACTGTCTAAAGCTCAAGAAACAGTATAATGGAATCTAATTTTAAGTATTAATAAATAAAAACCACAGCTGGGGTTCTGGAGGCCAAGGTCCCCGGGAGCCCTCTGCTGAATTCAGTGGAGCACAGGACATGCTGTGTTCACTACATCACTGCTGACCCATATTGAGAGTCTCATAATTTTTCCCACAATTCCTTTTTGCTTTCACTTTGCCAACTGAATTACAAATAAGCAAATGAAAGCTCTAAAGGAAAGAAACATCATGTTCTATTGGGACCCATGCAAACAAGGACACTGGAGAATTTTGATAAGTCTCCCAGCAGCTAAGTTCTAGCTGATTGCCTTCCTTGGCTCAAATATTCAGAAGGTTTGCTTACAGTAAAAGGATAAACCAAATATATATTTCAAGAAATGAATACAATTAACCAGAAAAGACAACACTTGAGGGACGGGAATGATCTACAGTCGTTCTCACTAGGGAAATACACAGTGAAAAAGGTGCCTAGCTGAGGAAAAGCTTTCCAGTGAGAAGCCCCGGGGTGCGGCTCCTACCTAGCTCGCACCGCTCACAGGGGCTCCCCCAGGCAGCTCCGAGCGTGGCACAGCATTCGGATTTCAGAGTGGCTCCATTAATGTTCACCTCACAGCGGTTGTCCTGGATGTTGAGCCAACATGTCCCTTTCAGGCTGTCTGAGAAGGAACAGGAAAGGATGGGGAGCTCTCATCTCTTGTATACACCAAGAGCAGTATTTATAGTATTAAAAACAGAATTATTTAAAAAAAAATTTAGTAGCTTATCCTTTGAACATAGTACACATACATGCGTTTAAGAATAGTATATTATATACATGTAAATCAAATATCAGGCTATATCTATCTCATACGATATGGTAACTAATACCATTATATCTACTAGTATTCTAGGAGCGGCCCCTGTTGCCCAAGATTTTATGCTGGTACTTGGGTACTTGCAAATGCAGTGTATTACCATAATAAGACCATTACTAGAGTGAAAAATACTCATAAGATTTATCCTTTATGATAATTGCTTTGATATTTGAGATTTTATCAAACAAAATTGCTCAAATAACCTTCTCTCCTAAGTCCCCACCAAATAAACCACAATGCATGTTCTATTAGAGGGAAGCTAGTATTTCTCTAACTGAAGATACTTGTTTGATGAATAATTTGAAAAAAGAAACAGGAAATCTACAAGATAAAGAAGAAAATAAATATCAGCTATAAAACTGCCACTAAGACACACCAGGGCTAATAGTTGATGTATTTTCTTTCAGGCGTTTCCCTATGCATACATATGTATAGTTGAATCTTTAGTTCAAAAAGTATCACGTTCATGGTAAAGTATTTGAAGAAACAGCAAAGAACACATAAAGCTTTTCTGTAATCCAACCATCTAGAGATAACTACTCCTAACTATTTTAGACTATGTCTCCACATCAAGCTGACGTTGCTCCTTAAACGACTGTTAAATGATTAATTTTGAAGCAGGGACAAGGAACCCAGTCAAAGTCGACATGGAAAATACTAATTGGGTAAAATAAATCATTTATAAAGTTTTCCTAGTAGAACTGGGGTTCTCCGTTTGGCACCCACATCACCAAGGCTCTTGTGAAAATGCAGATGCGCACGCCTCCAGGTGTGCGGCCCAGGAGTCGCATCTGACCAGCTCCTCAGGTGGTTCCGATGCAGGTGACAAGTAAAACACAATATAACAAAATCTTAATGGCATATTGTGGCACATATACTTGGAAAACAATAAAGGAAAAGCATGTCCCTACAGTACTTATTTTAAAACTCAATTAAGAATATGGGCAGATAAAGTTTTACTGCTAAATTTAACAATAAAAACAAGACATAACCAGAAACACAGAAAGGGCATTACGATGAAACTGGCAGGCCCAAGAAGAGAGAAGTTGTAATTTCTGATCCCTTGTGGAACACAGCAGTGGGTAAGAGGAAATCACTTACAACCCAGCCTCTGGGACAGAGGTAAAAATGAAACAACTCTGTCCTTGGCTGGAAAGAAAAAGTTATGGGGCAAGGACGTAGAAAAGAGGTGGAGAGTCACTTTGCTTTTTATTGGTTTGAGATTCAGTTTAGGTAAAAATTGCATGCTAATGAAAACGATTTGCTCATCAGTATTTGTATCAAGCCTCAAATTATGGACTTTTTACAGGCTTACACCTGTAAATTCCATAGCATAGAAGAAACAGAGATGCTGGTGCAAGGTTACTGTGTATTTAAATGATCTGGACTACTCTGTGTTTTAAGGACCCGGACTAATTACTGATTTAAGATGTTGGCTGTAGTCAATTTAAGTGAGATGTACTGTAATAGTACTTGCTAATATTTACCAAGGTAGCAAAAAGCACCATTAAAGGCTTTCCAGGTACTAGTTTATTGACTTGTTAAAACAACTCTGTAAGGTACGTACAATTTGCAGATGAGAAAACTGAGGCACACAGAGGACAACTAATGTATCCAAGATTACCCAACTAGTCTAGTGTCAGCATCAAGAGTCAAACCTGTATAGTCTATTTCAGAGTGCTCACTCTGTAACACCAAGCTTCTTTAGGCTGGTTTTGTATCAACACTTAAAAGTCACAAAATCCATTGATACACACATCCATCTCTCTCTCTGTGTTTTATTTTTGTGTATACACTTCCCCCCATGGCCCACATACACACACAATATAGATGTAGTTATATAGTAAGGGATTAGTCAGGATCTGATCCTAGGGTAAGCAGATTAGAGGCTACAGTGATAATCAAGAAGATAAATAATGGTGGCTTCGATTGGGGGTTGCTGGTGGTGGTGGTGAGAAGTAGTTGAAATACGAATAAACTTTAAGTACAATCAATACGATCTGCTGATGGATTCAACGTGGAGTTTGAGAGAAAGGCATCAAAGATGACTGCAAAGTTTTGGGGGCTGGCAACTAAAGGAATGGAGTTCTCATTTGCCGACAGGAATGATTCTAGGGGACACAAGTTCAAGCTGAAAGATAGGAATTTGGTTTTAGACATGTGAAGTTTGAAATGTCTATTTGAAATGTCTCCAAATGGAGAAACTGTGTACACAGTTGGAAATACAAGTCTGAAATGCGTGGAAAGGTTGAGGATTGAATAGAGCATTAACTATGAACACAAAATGGATTCTAATAATTCCAATAGCTACATCAGTCGCAAAGTGACAGTCATGCCAGAGCATCCCGTGAAAGGCGTACCCAGTGAACACCCTAAGCAGATAACTCCAGGCGCAGACTGAGGTGTGACCATGTGGGTGGCTTTAATGGCCTGCAGATGAGCTTTACGGGACCGTAGATGGGGGCACTGCACCCAGTCTTAAGCATAAAATCAGAGCTCTCTGATGGCTCATTGCTCAGACCTCAACTGACGAGCTGACAGCCGCATCTGTACTGGTCCCAGACAGAGCATTTTGAAGCTTCGCCTCCTGAGCGTCTAATCAGCCTTGCCCAATGCCTGACACTACGCACCCAGTGCCCAGGGACTCTCGCTAAACACTGGACTCTCTCATTCTTCTTTTGTAAGACTGTTTACTTTGCCTAACCCTATTGCTTGCAAACCTGTGTGATCGTCTTGTGTGAAACCGCTCTCGACTACTGGAGACGATCCTCTGGCCGGAGCTTTGGTTAATGCCCATGGTGAACCGAGTCAGTAGGACTAGATCCATGGTTTTATCCTAATAAAGTGACATTATGGAAAGACACAAACGTGTGTGAGACTGCTACTTGGATAGCCATGTCCCGCTCACGACAAGGGTGGAGAGATAAATCTGAGTAAATGTAGAGGCCATCTAAGCATGAGTGCAGACAGAGGGGCCAAGAGGTTCAAGACCGACCAACCTGTGGTACACTTCAAGTTGGAGAGCAGGAGCATATGCAAGACTTAACAAAGAAAACTGTGAAAGAGGAGGCCAAAAACGACACACTTCTTGAGAAGGAGTGAGTGATGAACTGTGCTGAACACTGCTAATAGAGACTAAGATGAGGAATGAGAATAGACCATGCATTTGAGAACAGGGAGGTAAAGGCCATGGTCACATCCATGCAGGTAGAGGACAGAATGCAGACCCACACCAAAGATGAGGGACATGGATCTGGAATATGTAGAGCCATCGGATGTGAGCAGTGTTAATGCAGGAAAGGTTAATCAAATTTACTCTTCTATTATATTTAATCATTTTCAACCAGAATATAATAGTCTTTTCAAGCAGTTTACAAAGCAGATTAAGATTAATTTATATTTAGAAAGTTGGCACAATAGAGTCTAAATTCCTAAGTAGTCTTAGTATCTAACTAGTTCATATATGTTATAACTTAATTTTAAATTTGTAATTACATCAGGGAATTTCTATTCCATTTGAAATTTAGAGACTTGGACTCTCTGACACCGAAGCTGCAGGCTAATCAGCGATAAGAGCCACTTAACAGTTCTCTTTAAAAAATGCATAATTTGTCTCTATTTTACTGTTTATTTTCTTTTTAAAACTAGAACGCAGTTTTAAATGAAAAAAGCAGATAAAATGCTGTACAAATTTTCAAAATATTAAGTAACTATCTTTCTGAGAAGCTTTAGGCTGAGATATACACATTTGGAATAAAAACACATGACACATTGGCTGAGAAAAACAAGGTGGTGTTTAGCTGCCCAACATAATGACTTGGGAATAAAAAGTCTTTGTTCTTTTTTTCATTAATATGTAAATATAAGGGTAAAAGACCAAAATAATAGAAGTGTTTATGATGAAGCAAAAACTAAAATCTCTTTGCTGCCCAAGTGGCATATAGATTTAGTTTTCTGAGATGTTAATTGACTAATGCTGAGTTCATTTCCTTTGCGTAATAAAATGACTCTGTCTCAGTTGGAAATTGTGGCTTAGCAAAAATACTTCTGCCTTACCAGATCCAATCCACATGCCTCTTCTCCCCACCATCCCCCAATCTGGAATTCTATAAGAAAAAAAAAGTAATGCCCCAGGCAGATGGAAGTCTATTTCCTAATATGGTGAGCTGAGCAAGCCTCAAATTTCATCAGCTGTACCTCACTGGGAAATGAAGAGCTAGCATTTCCAAATGGAAGGTTTTCATTGATAACTTTGGACTTGGCTATTTCTTTTCATGTAACAAACAGGTACTCTAGCATATTACATTATCAGCTAAATATTGGTAACATCAGACATAATATTGAAAATACTATTGTCTTTGGCAAATATTAAATTGAAAATTCATACTGGCTAGATAACAAGAACTGCCATTTTTTTTGGCACTATGTAAAACTGAAATATCTTTCTATTTTGAAATACATATTTAGTTCCCTTTAAAAGTGGAAACTAGCTAATGATATGAACTGTGGTATGCCTAGCCAATGGAGCCACAGACACGGAAAGGGAAAAAATTACTGAAATAGTTTTTTTTCCCCCTTGTGCTGAATTGTTCCTTATAGTAATAGATCAGATGACCTCGTTTTATGTATGTCCTATTGGCATTACCAAGAACTGACCTTAAACGTTTTGATGTATTAAAAGACGTTAGTTTAGAAGTTTTGGAATCTTTTTCTCTTAGAGATTTCCCAAAGCAAGAAAACAGTTATCTTCTCTTCCTTGAAGCCCATACATTTATGACTGATGGGAGAAATGAGAAAACAATACAGTCTTTCTATGTGTTTAAAACTTAAAATCTCCAAATTCTTGTCCTGTTAACTAAGTGCAAATGCTATCACATTTTTGTTTACCACTGAAGGTTGTTTATAAAAAGTACACAGCAGGGATTTGATTGTATTGATGCCTAAGGCATTCTTAGAGTAACGAATATAAATGTCTGTGTGGTATGGAAATGCTTGTAACTTACAGCACAATGTATCTACTTACACAAAAGGAACACTTCCTAGAACCTCACAAAATTTAAAAGCCTGTCCAGTTTATGCTATCATGTTTTACTCCTATGTTGATAATGAGAGAAAACAGGGAGAGTAATTATTAGCTTCCTGTCATCGGGTTCTGTTTTGACCTGCACTAAGGCCTGAGGTCTCTGCTTAGCTCTGAGTGAAACTGAAACGTGGGTCCCGTGTGTGCATCTTACCAATACAGATCAATCCCGTGGAGCTGAGTTTGCTGCCAGGAGAACATTCACAATTGAAAGATCCAAGGTTATTCCTGCAGGCCCCGTTGACACAGGGGTTGCTTTCACATTCATTTATATCTACGATCCAGAAGGAAAAGATTCTGTTAGAACTGCCATGTGTTTCTGGAAAATATTATTCCAACAAGGCACGCTATGCCAGAATGTCTGGTAAACTTGGCTCTTGTAATTTTAATATGGATCTATGAGGCATAAGTGATCGGGGAACGGAGATACGCATTTCACAGAGTGGATACACATACACACGACTGGGGACACAGTAGGGCTACAGGAATTAGACTATGTGGAAGGGGTGTAGCATGTGAATCTTCACTATCTTACTACAACTTTACATGAATTGGATTAGTTTCCCCCCATAATTGTCCTGTGGGAAATGTGAACTCTGATTCCATGGAAAGCAACATATTGCTCGGTGGGACCTCCTGTGCACAAACAAAGATTGACAGTTTCTATCATTTATGGCTCTGTGAGGTTTTGGAAGAATTTTAGAAAAGCCTATTAGAGGCAAAATATTACCATGCTGGCTTTAATTCCAAGCTCCTGGATACAAATCAGAAAATAGGGATGAAACTTGAATACCAGGTATAGCATTCTCCTCCAGTCTTTACCCACCTTCCTCTCTCATTAGCCTATTCACATTTACATGTTTGGTGTGGAGAGTTGTTAAAAGCACAACTGAGCTTGAAAAAGTAAAAAAGAGAACAAACTTTGAATTGCTTCAAATAGCCTTTTACTATCGTTAATTTGGTTTGAGTTCCTAAACCAAATTATATACCATAACCTAAACAATTCCTGTTGATGGTCAGAAGTAAACAGAATTAGAGTATGCCTATGTTGTCAAGTGGCGACTAACAAAATTTTCAAGCCAATAAAGTCAAATAGTTTGCATAAGTTAATTAAAAATAAATACAAGTTTCAGCTAAAGTACTAAAAACAATATCAAAGGCTGACCTTCGGTATAAATTCAACTACTCAATTTAAAGAAGGGGTGCACAGATTTCTTTTTGTACTTGGTTAATTATCTGAAACACATCAAATTACCTCAAGACATGCTTTTGTGGAACCCTAAGGTTTCCAAGTTAACCAGACTACATTTTTTTTTTCCTAAACATCTCTTGGAAATAAATATAAAATGCTACATTGAGCAAAACACACAAATAACTGTAAGATTGTAATGCTGGCTCTTGAATGTCTTCAGTCAACTATAAACTAAACTGGTCCTGAAAAGGCAGGGCTCACTGTTGATTTTCAAGTTAGTGAATTTGAAATGCAAATTTAAGAATCAATGTGGAAAACAGGTGTGTTCCTTCTTTGCCACTTCACAACTACTAAAGAAGTACCCAGGTATTAATGCAATTCCTGAAGTAGAAATTGTTTGGGGAAATATAAATACATTCTTCTTTCAGGTTGTTTGTAGCAAGAAAACCTCTTAAAAGGAAAATACAAGAGCAGGTTTTGTAAATATAGCACAGATTGGGAATGAGAAAATCTATTCAAGAGTACTGACATTCTTTCTGTAAAAACAATGCAAAAGGGAATCAGATACAGTCAGGAAGTAGATAACTCATCTGAGAACTATATATATATAATTCACCTATTAATTTCATCTGTAAGGAGCTCCCCAAACAGAAAAATGTCAATTATCATATATTTTCAAAATCCCTATTTTAAATTAAGCAGCTATGAACTCAGAAACTATAAACACATGCAATGACAGCTACAAATATCAACTGTTTAATTTTTCCTTAAATACAATGTTTTTATGTTATAAATGTCATGGAACCAGGAATTGAAACAGTTCACTGTACATTCCTGGAAATAAACTTCAAAGCACATCTGGTTTACATTTAACTAGTTATGTCACTGGAAACACAATCTAAACCACAGTGCTTGCTGTAAAAATTTTAACATTCACAGGCTCTCAGAGCTCAAACAAAAAAAGTAAAATAAATTTTTTGTAACTTTAGTCTGAAATATCAGGGGAGCTTTATTATTACTTCTATTTATTATATATTTAAAATAGCCCATGGAAAATGTGGATGGCAAGCAAAATTAGTGAAGATAGCAAATATATGCAGGGAGAGTTAGGTTCTACAATGAATCTGCTAAGTCCCTATCTAGCCTTTGGAAGTTAGTTTAGAAAGAACAGAAGAGAACTGCTTCAGGCAGACAAATTTACTGTGTAAATTCAATGGTGCAAATAAGGAGGAGACCCAAGGGAAAAAGAGATGCATGGCCTTCAGGTCTGTTTTTTTCTTTTTTTCCCTGCCCAAAACATTTAATAAAATGCAAATAATAGGGGGAAGAAAATATAGAAGTAAAAGTTATTTGGTTAGGTTTCTCATAATAAATCACTTTTATTTCTACTAATGTCATAAGGCTAGAGCCAAAATATTTCTGTCATTTCTCTTATTTACATAACATGAACTTCTTATGAATGACAGATATGAAATTATCTCATATTACAGAAAAGGCTCAGATTTATCAGGAACAATTACCCTTTGGACAAAATAAGTGAAGTGCACTGTTTCTAACCCTCACTGTTGCCTGGTTTGGTATTAATGTGCACTAATGTTTACGTCATCATCCAGCGTTACACTGTTAAACACCATTTGCCCCTACTCTTTTTTTTTTT